CTTTCCCTGCAGAGTGCAGACTCTCAGCTTAGTCTGTCAGCCATCTCTCACAGTGATAGCACTTCCTCAACACAGTCCCTGTCTCATGGAGGGGTGCCAGAGCTGCTCGTGGGATTGTCATACAACGCAACGACGGGGCGGCTGTCAGTGGAGATGATCAAAGGCAGCCATTTCCGAAACCTCGCCATTAATAGGCCACCTGGTAAGTACTTTCACTCCTATTTAATAACATTGTTGATTCAAAATTTGCTTTTTAAAAAATTTTCTTCTTCAAGATATTAAATTAAATAATTTCTGAGCTGGGTTTCCTTGCAGAGTATCCAATTGCAAATTAAAAGCATGATTTCAAATAGTTGTGCTGGTGAATTTTACAGTGTAATTGGAGGAAATTGTATGAAGACACAGCTGACAGGGCAGTAATACCTGAATGTCTTTTTTACTGCATATACCTTTCCAACATCTGATTATGGCAAAAGTGCTATTATACCCAAAGATCAGAGTAATTCTCAGCAGATCCATAAAAAGATAGAAGCACTTTTCAAGTGATTATGTGTTACCATGAGACCTGCAGAGGCCCTGCCTAGTGCCATTAAGTGCTTCCCAGGGCTATACTTTGTGTAGTCCCCTTGCTGTGCTGCTGAGCACTAGGTGACCTGATGCTTTGGGCCCTTTGGGAATCCTGCTGCTGGGAATTGTCTGCTGCTGCACAAGAGAATCTGCAGAAATAAGATCTGAAAGTTGCTGTCTGGATTGCAACACTTGAGTCCCTTCCTCCAGTATCTAAAGGAAGAAATGGCAATTGCCTTACAGAAGGTTTGGTTGGTGTTTGAGCTGTAGTTAGTCCTTGAAAAATATAGTGGATGGATGGTGTTAATGTCCTTGATGGGGTCATGCAGCCGTAGGACATGGTATTATCTGCTTTGCTGCTGGGCTGCCTCATTCAAGGGTCAAATGGCAGTGCTGTATTCAACTCATACTGTCCTTTTGCCTCCTATCTGAAACCAGCAGCTCATGGCAATGTGAAACAACGTTTGTTTGTTTGTGTGTTTACTTCTTGTGATGTGGTTGCCTGCCTGTCAAAGGTAACAACCTTTGGCAGTTCCTTGCTTTCACAGGATTTGACAGAATATCTCCAGCTTGCAAAATGCTAAGAATGTTTTTGCAAGATACTGTGGTCTTTGACCCAGAGCTAGCAAAATGCTTATGTAATATTTCAGTACATGGATGGGAAAAACTAAATTTCCACTAGACTATACTTCAGTATATTACAGAAATAATCTGTATGATCAGTCAGATAGAGAGTGGCCTAGCAAGGACCTCCGCCAGTTCCCTCAGCACCCATGGGTGTTCCATCTGGACCCATCGATTTATGGATGTCCAGATTGCTCAACTGATCCCTAACCCAATCCTCACCTACCAAAGCAAACTCCTCCTTCAACCTGACTCCTTCTGGGGCTTTAGGGATCTGGGGCTCCTGGAGAAAGCCTGCAGGAGTAAAGACAGAGGCAAAGAAAGCATTCAGTACCTCAGCCTTCTTTCTATCCTCTGTCACCAGGGCACCCACCTCATTCAGCACTGGGCCTATATTGCCTCTAGTGTTAGTTCTATCTGCAATGTATTTGAAGAAGCCCTTTCTATTGTCTTTGACCTCACTAGCGAGGTTTAGTTCCAAGGAGGCCTTAGCTTTCCTGACTGCTTCCCTACATCCTCTGACAACAGTCCTATATTCCTCCCAAGTGGCCAGCCCCTCCTTCCCTGATCCACAGATTCTCTTTTTCCACTTGAGTTTGCCCAGCAGTTCCTTGTTTAACTATGCAGGTCTCCTGGCTCCCTTACTTGAGGGAGGCCAAACTGCAGTGCTGCGCCCTTCTACCACGCCTGGTGGCTGCTCCTGTTTCCCTGCTCCTGTTTCCCTACTCCTGGTCGCTATGCTCCCCAGGGGCTGCTCTTCTACCCGAGGGGGTCAGGCCACTGTCCCTTTGCCTCTGCCCACGGTGAGTCAGAGCTGCCACTCCCGAGAAGCTCTCACTCCCTGCCCAGGGTCAGGGGCTGGGACTGACTCCCTCCCTCCCACTCTCTCCCTTTCTCTCTCTCTCTCCTGCCTTCTCTTCCTTGGCTTTGCCGAGGGTTTCCTTGCAGTTCAGCTGCTGCAGAAGGGCTGCACCAGCACGATCCCTCACTCTGGAGTTCGTCACCTCACCGAAATGGCCATGATGCAGGACTTCTGTTCCTAAATCAAACCCTGCACAAGTTGTCTTCTACCTGGCTGGGTCAGGCATCTGTAATGTCCACTCTTTTCCCATAGGTGAAATGTCTTCACTGCATAGAACGCAAATAATGGCCTTCTGTCTCACTACCTGCAATATCATCACCAATTTACTGACACTTCTTTTGAATTCTTTTAACAACCTTTCTGAGTGCATGCTGAATAGCTCCATGCGTTGCAGTAAGCTGAGCAACCCTATAACTCATTGTCTGTGAGTGCTGGGGAATTGTATCTGTCCTGGGGCTCTTCCCAGAGGGTGAGGCTTGGCAGATTAATTGTGTGTCCACAGCTATTTCAGCATGGAAAAGTTTAGCTGCCTTGATTAGACATCCCATTCTGGTGGGCATGCAGGAGTGTCATGGCTTGGTTGGCAACATCTTTAAACCTGATCAGAATTTTGTGTGTATTGATGAGAGCAAGAGCAGGATACAGGAAAAGGAGGCATTCCTTGAGGGACCTTTCATTTTAAATTGTGCTTGTATGTTCTGTTTCTGTGTTTGGAGGGCTACAGATAAGCCTAGGTGAATTGGTTTGATAAGCTGATCAAACTCTTTTGTCAGTGACCCAAACTAATAGCCCTGACATTGTTTCATAACAGTTCTTCCATCTTCACTTTTAGGGCTATCTTGAGTTGTTTCTTTGCATGCTTACTGTATCCATATCAAATTAAGTATTGTCAGACCAGTATTTCTCAGCGTTAGATCAGTTTTTAGGTGAAAAATAGAAATTCATAATCCATTACAGGCAAAGTCTGAACCTATCACAATCTATTTCTTTATGCCAAGTCACATTGTCACTTCTACATTGTTCTTCAGGGCCTGTAAAGTTCCCATTAGTGTCATGAGAAAAGGAATACCCAGTGAAGCAGAAATTGAAATAAGTTTAAAAGAAGGAAGAAAACCAGCACTTGTCTTGGATGTTGGAGCAGCATGTCCCTGATAATCCTGCAGGCACTGCAGAGGAGAGCTGTGAGGTCCGATCGTTACTGTCTGAAACATGCTGGTAGCTGAACGAGATGCTCAATAAGTCCTTCACTAGGTGAAAACTAAAACTGCTGCTCTCTCCCTTTCTGGAGGGTGAACAAATAGCCCTTGTGTTTTCTCTAATGCATCTTACATACAGTTCTGTTGTTTCGGGGCTCAGGAGGAGTGATTTATTTCTTTAAAGTGTCATGGGGATTTCAGCTATAATAGCACTTCGGAACACTTAAATACCAAGCCCAAACTGCTCTTCAGGGCAGCCATTTATGGTAAGACTGAGAGAAGTCAATGGGAAGAATCCATCTCCATTCCCAGCCCTGCGTGCACAGAGCCTATACAGTACCCATATGTGGTCCTGTTGCAGCTCAGTGGTTTTATTGCTGTCTGCTGCTGACAGCTGCAGCTATGGGGAATGATAGGAGAATCTTGCATGACAACAAATTCTCCAGCTGTGCATTTTGCCCACCTCAACCTTCTTCTCTGCCACCTGCAGTCCTGCACACGTGAGCTCAGTACCTCCTGCAGCATGTGTGCCCCCTCCTTGGTTGCACAAGGATTTAACTGGGTATGGAAGAAGGAACTGGCCTGGGACATTGGTGATTTTAGGTCAGAGACTAAAGCAGATGGTTTTCTGAAGAAGGAAAGGAAGATTGTGCACATATCTCAGGTTTTTCTGGGTACATCTTCACCTTCACTTAAACCTTTTAATGGAGTAATTACCAGAGTTGTGGGTGCTCACATGGGTAATAACTGGGTTAGAAGAGAACTGGGCAGCTTACAGAGACTTTAATCTTGCAGGCGGTTTTCTTCTCTTCAGGTCACGTATGTGGGGTTTAAGGATATTTGGTCAAGGATAAGTGTCCAGGTATTGTTCTGGGGAACATGCTGAGTTATAGGCCTGCGTCTACAGTCCCTGATCACACAAATAGATCCATTATCACTCAGAGCACTTAAGAGCACTCAAGAGTATGGCTGCAGCATCAGACCATAAATTATCAGTGTGTGCCAAAAAGCCTCATGCAAAAAGGCATCTACAGCTTTGTCAGTTGTGCACACCCTCAGTATTTTAGTGCTAATGGCTTGTGTGCTGTTCACCTCACTCTCTTTGGTTCTTGTAAAAATTAACCTGTGCTAGCATTTTGTAGAGGTTCATATTTTGCTCTGGGGTATCGTATCATCTTACAACAAAATCTAGTGCATTCATTTAAGGGATGTTCACTATAAAAAAAAGCAACAAGAGAAGCCCACACCATTAGCAGACATATGTTTAAAAATTTATAACCAGTTACATACTGTGTGCATGGTAGTAGTACCTTGGGATTGTAGTGATGGACCAGGAATCGTTTGTGCTAGTCAATGTATAAATATGCAACAGAGATGGTCTCTGCCCACATGTTTAACCTTCATCAACTGCTCTGCTGGGTGCAGCTCTCTCTCCTCTAACCCAGCCTCCTTTCTTTCCTCTTCTGCTTTTCTTTTGGGGTTTGCATCTGTGTGTAATTCAATTTGAGAAAGTCTATTGTAAAAATATTCCCTCACCTAAGAAAAGTCCTCCAAGCTTTTCAGCAGCTGCAGAATTAATCATGCATAATTACATCCATGAGTGATCATTATTATATCAGCAGCATATTAACCCCATTAAACAAATACAATAATATTAATGCTGGAAAAGACAAGAGGGAGAGAACAAGCTATCAGGATTTCTGTTGGGAGCAGGAGAAATTCTTGGAGTAAAGACTTGTCTGAAAGCAAACATCTACCTGAGCCATAGATCACAAGGTCAAGAAGTACAAAAGATGCTTCCATAGAAAAGTTAGATTCCTTACATGGTGTTTGTTGCTGTGATATCAGAATGCTTCAAAGCCATTAGTGGATGTTATTTTACCAACTTGTTTGTGAGGGAAGGAAAGTTATTATCCCTGCTTCATTCCTGGAGAACTAAAGCACAGGTTAATT